GCTGAAATAAGCTGGGACGTCACTGAAAAAGACGTTGCTTGGATGGCAGCATATTTTGTTCCAAAACCTGTATGTACTTTTCAACAGTAATGTGCCTTCACAGATGTGCAGTTTACCCATGTGCACTAACACACACCCATACCATCACAGATGCTGGCTTTTGAACTTTGTGCTGATAATAATCTGGATGGTCCTTTTCCTCTTTAGTCCAGAGGACACGACGTCCATGATTTCCAAAAACAAACTGAAACGTGGACTCATCAGACCACAGCACACTTTTCCACTTTGCATTAGTCCATCTCAGATGAGCGTTTCTGGGTGTTGTTGATGTATGGCTTTCACTTTGCATAGTAGAGTATTAACTTGTACTTGTAGATGTTGTGACGAACTGTGTTAACTGACAGTGGTTTTCTGAATTGTTCCTGAGCCCACGTGGTCATATCCTTTATAGGATGATGTCTGTTTCTAATGCAGTGCCTTTTGGGATGCTCCAATAATGACGCTCACCTGTTTCCAATTGACCATCTTAAGAGACAAAAACATCTCAACAATTAAACTACACTAATACAATGTCACACGTCAGCTCATCAGCTGCTATAGATACTGTAAACTGGAAACTTTAGGCTGTTTCAGTAACTCCAATTCTCTATGATAATGGTGCATCTACTATAAATGAAAGCTGCAAAAAAAACTAATTTACAGTGTACAGTAATTTAGAGCTTTATTTTCACCACTGATTTTGATTAAGTATTTATTCTATAAATGTCCAAAAATATTTAAAATAACACATGATAAAATCTTCATCTTATTTTATCTGAACAGTCCAAAACCATAGGTACTTTGATTTGATTTGATTTATTCTTGAGGTGGTTCATCTGTGGAATGTTCCAAACAGGTATTTTTTGAGCATTCATCAACTTTCCCAGTCTTTTGTTGCCCCTGTCCAAGCTCTTTTGGAACATGTTGTAGGCATCAAATTCAAAATGAGTGAATATTTGCAAAAAACAATAACATTTATCAGTTTGAACATTGAATATCTTTTCTTTGAGGTGTATTTAATTAAATATGGGGCAAAAAGGGAATCAGGCCTTACTCTGAGAAACCCTGGACTGAGATGCTGTAGCTTAAGTTAGTGATTCGCCTTGAACATAAATACTCATTTCAGTGCTATGAGTGGTTTACACCTGTTTATAACTTGATGAACCTTTTCACAATTTACATTTGTAGAGATATTATACTCTTACCCTGCTGGGAGTGAGTCAGAGGTGGACTCCACTATGGTGCTGCTGCTGGCCTGCTCTGTGCTGGAGGTACTGTTTGGGCTAGGTTCCGTCAGGGTGACTGGACGCAGGGCATCCTGACCTGGAGAGGGGCTACCACTGCTGCTGCTTGCTGCTGGGGATCGGCCCGATGGAGAGGATGGAGGAGGTGTGTGATGGGCCACACCCCCAAGACTGTTCTCCAGCCCATTCGACGTCAACTCAGCTTTGTCTAAGATAAGACACAGATAGGAAACAGGACAAGAGAGACAGAAAGGTGGATGCTTAATGTTGTGAGCTCATAAGAGAGAAACCAGAGATCAGCTGATGTTGATCTTTCTGCAGTTTTAATTTACTAGTCCCCTGCATTCATCTGCTACAGAGACGGTCTGGCATCTGGCACAGTTAAGCTGCTAAACACTGTTCCATAGGAGTGAGCTGTAAAAATAAACCCAGATGACAAAGAGCAAATAAAGAAGTTGGTACAGAGGCCTCAGCTTCACAAGCTGAAAAAATGTTGAGTTTTGGCAGAGCTCTAAATGTTATCTATGTTAATACAGATATACAGTGGGTACGAAAAGTATTCAGACCCCCTTAAAAATTTCACTCTGTTATATGGCAGCCATATGCTAAAATCATTTAGGTTCTTTTTTTTTCCTCATTAATGTACACACAGCACCCCATATTGACAGAAAAACACAGAATTTTTGACATTTTTGCAGATTTATTAAAAAAGAAAAACTGAAATATCACATGGTCATAAGTATTCAGACCCTTTGCTGTGACACTCATATATTTAACTTAGGTGCTGTCCATTTCTTCTGATCATCCCTGAGATGGTTCTACACCTTCATTTGAGTCCAGCTGTGTTTGATTATACTGATTGGACGTGATTAGGAAAGCCACACACCTGTCTAAGACCCTACAGCTCACAGTGCATGTCAGAGCAAATGAGAATCATGAAGTCAAAGGAACTGCCTGAAGAGCTCACAGACAGAATTGTGGCAAGGCACAGATCTGGCAAAGGTTACAAAAAAATTTCTGCTGCACTTAAGGTTCCTAAGAGCACAGGGCCCTCCATAATCCTTTAATGGAAGACGTTTGGGACAACCAGAACCCTTCCTAGAGCTGGCCATCCGGCCAAACTGAGCTATCGGGGGAGAAGAGCCTTGGTGAGAGAGGTACAGAAGAACCCAAAGATGACTGTGGCTGAGCTCCAGAGATGCAGTCGGGAGATGGGAGAAAGTTGTAGAAAGTCAAAGAAAGTCAACCATCACTGCAGCCCTCCACCAGTCGGGGCTTTATGGAAGAGTGGCCCGACGGAAGCCTCTCCTCAGTGCAAGACACATGAAAGCCTGCATGGAGTTTGCTAAAAAAACACCTGAAGGACTCCAAGATGGTGAGAAATAAGATTCTCTGGTCTGATGAGACCAAGATAGAACTTTTTGGCCTTAATTCTAAGCGGTATGTGTGGAGAAAACCAGGCACTGCTCAGCACCTGTCCAATACAGTCCCAACAGTGAAGCATGGTGGTGGCAGCATCATGCTATGGGGGTGTTTTTCAGCTGCAGGGACAGGACGACTGGTTGCAATCGAGGGAAGGATGAATGCGGCCAAGTACAGGGATATCCTGGACGAAAACCCATTGAGCATCTCTGGAGAGACCTGAAAATGTCAACCAATGTTTACCATCCAACCTGACAGAACTGGAGAGGATCTGCAAGGAGGAATGGCAGAGGATCCCCAAATGCAGGTGTGAAAAACTTGTTGCATCATTCCTAAAAAGACTCATGGCTGTATTAGCTCAAAAGGGTGCTTCTACTAAATACTGAGCAAAGGGTCTGAATACTTATGACCATGTGATATTTCAGTTTTTCTTTTTTAATAAATCTGCAAAAATGTCAAAAATTCTGTGTTTTTCTGTCAATATGGGGTGCTGTGTGTACATTAATGAGGAAAAAAATGAACTTAAATGATTTTAGCATATGGCTGCAATATAACAAAGACTGAAAAATTTAAGGGGGTCTGAATACTTTCCGTACCCACTGTAAATCATCTATAACTTTTCAGATAAAGTTATCTGGATTTGCATTAAAATCAAACACTGCTATTTGTTAACGTAGGAGAGCAGATATTAGCACTGCGCTCTGTCACATTAGATATTATACACTCTGGGTACATTTAGGTTTTCTAATCAGATCTGTGCCTGTGTGTGTCAAATTCAAGTTCAGGAGGCAGAGAGAAAAAGTAAGGAAGGTGAGGCAAAATCCATGACTGATTCATAGCTTGTCATCTATGGAAAGATCACAACTTCAGCTAAGCCTGACATATTTCTACACAGATTAATATCAGCATCTTCTATCCATCAATCATCAGAACCAGCTCTAACAAAGAGAGCTGAGACAAACACACATAAAAGTCTAAATCCTCTTAAGGCCATGCCAGCGAGTAACAGCAGTGAGGTGAGCAGACTTGCTGTATACCTGTGCTGTTTCCTGGGCTTCCATGACTCTTGGAGGACCGGCTGTGTCCATTTGATCCCGGCCTAGGTATATGCTCTTCAGTCAACTCCCCATTAGTGAGAGAGTCCCCTCTGGAGCACCCTGGGGAGCTGCCCTGTGAACCCCCCACAGAGCTCCTGTTACTCCTGCAAACAGATGGAGAAACAGAGAGAGAGAATGGGATGTGGAGCAGATGAGATGAGAAGGAAAGAAAATGAGGTGGGGGGGATTACAATGTTTAGAGGGAAATACCATCTGACCCCAGGCACCCTCGCCACAAAGAAAAAAAGAAAATTCTGCCTGCTCCACTATTTATTATCTCACTAGTAAACTAGCCAGTGAGAGCAGTGTCTGAAGCCACACTCAGGGGGGAATAACATCCTGGCACACAGTGCTTCAGTTGACCAAACTGGCACAAGCTTCCTTCACTCAATCCTTTTCTATTTCTTCCATATATTTTGATTACAGTTGTGCCTTGGGCTTGTGATTTTCATCTAAGTACTTTGCAAAAGTTATGCAAGTGTATTCTTGTACTGTTAGTCTTACTGTTTTACCACAACACCTAGAATGACTTGAAACCAGCAGTGCAAAGAACAGTCCTTGATATAGAGACCTGAAAAGCTGGTTTTCAGTATGAGTACATGTGTGCGATTGTCAGGGGAAAAAAAAACTATAAATGCACTTAAAGTGGATTTAGGCTTACGTCCCAGGTTGCCCTGAACTCCTCCTATATATTGTTATATATTGTTATAATATGCTACAATCCAAACCCCTATGAGCTTCTGGAGACTCTCCTAAATTCCCCAAATAACAAATAGAAACCTAAACATGACATGAAAGTTTGTCTCAACAGATTTGTTTAGAAAAAGTTGGCCTCATCATTATTTCTTTCATCTCTTTGTCAAAAAGCATTGCAAATTTACCCAATCTGGTAAAAACTGATCTATGTGCACTTTACTGACACTTCTTTTCAGGATCTGTCAGTCAAAAACCTACTAAACTCACTGACTTCTGCAGACATCACCATAGGTTTTCACTCACACATATACACATCTGTTGTTCTAAACCCCCAGTTCCCAAACTACTGTTTGTGAATCCTTTCAATTCAGATGATGATCTGAGTCAGCACGGAAATCTGACTGATTGTTCCGTGGGCTGCACCTTACCTCTTCAAAAAGGTTTCATCAAAATCCATTCATGGGTTTTTGAGTAACGCTGTGAACAAACCAACAAATGCTGCTAAAACTTCTGCCCTTGCTTCTGCAGCAGATCACGTAAGCTAAGACAAACTGTTATAAAGGAAAACTGCAATAAATTCACAACTATCACATTAATGCTGCCTTTCTAAGATGAAAAAATAGTCAAGCTGAGAGGGGCTATTTTTTCTTAACAAGTCGTGTTCTACAGCGATGTGTCCTATACACACTATAAGCAACTGTGGCTGACTGACAGCAAATAATATCTCATCTTATTCATCCATAATGACAACAGCACACATTAAACAGGATATAAAATAATTAAAACGGAAATCAAACAAAGCACAGACATATCCTTCATAATCAGCATGTGCAGATTCAAATAGGCTACAGTTTAATGTCCATCCAGATGAATGTGGACAATAAGAGGCTATAGGAAGAAAAAAAAAATGTCATGACATCAAACATTTTCATTTATCGGTTAATCTTTCACTTCTCATATTACTTCATGTATCAGTTTTATTCCGGCAGCATCTGAATTTCAACCAGTGCTTAAAGTCTGTGGCAGTGTATTAATCATATTGTGGGGACGTAAATGTGTTTACACAGTCACACTGTGGGAACACAACATCCATAGAGGGACAAAAAGCAAGTCCCCAAAACATAAATCATTACATTTTAGAGTGATAACTTGGTTTAATGTTATGGTTGGATAAGCAGTGGTTATGGTCAAGGCTAGGGTAAGTAAATGTGTGTGTGTGTGTGTGTTGACCTGCTGTTCGTTGCAGCAGTACTGGGAGTCTCCTCACTCTGTGTTCGTCTCAGGTTGGGTCTGTCTGACTGAAGGACTTCTGCAAAGACACATAGCATTACAGTCATGCAGACACAGATACCAGCTACCAATGAATGATGGCAAGAGACAGATTAAGAAAAGTGCACGCTACATCGAGTGACTCAGGTAAAGCTTTTCAAAAACCGCACATTCACATAAGTAAAAACACAGTTCACATCCATATTTATATTTGACTTGCACTTTCGTACAGTGTACAGTACACTTTGTCCAAGCATGAATGGAAAATGTGCATCTAAATGTGAAGATGCTCTATAAAGTGAACTGCCATTACTCTCCATATTCTCACTAGGTTAAGTTTTAATCAGTGAATAATCCTAAATGTCTGTCATATTCCTGCTACTACATTTTAACTCACTTATAAACAGGAAGCAATTTTTCATTCTAAAAGGCTTTTTAAAATGTATAGTACTACAGTATCATTTCATTACACTTGTATACTACTACTACTCTTAGCCGTTCCCCGTTGGGTGTCACCACACTGGTCGCATGTATTCATTACACTTACATATTGGTGACAGCATTGACACTTTGTTATCCAAACGCATCTTCAAGAAAACCATCATTTAAAACAACACCATCATAGGGGTAATGCAACATCCCCAGTTTGATTCTGGCCAGGAGATCTTTTATAGAATGTCATTTCCCAGCTGTCCGGCCCTTCCTTTCCTATCATCTCTCTACATTTAACATGGCAATAAGGGCATAACAGGCCAAAAAAAATCTTTATAGTATAAAAGACAATGACAACAACTCTTAAAGAATTCAACACTCAGCTTCAGTTCAATTCAGTTTCTTTAATTGTCAGTTCCCTAAAGGTTTCACTGTCACATTTTCAGCATCGGTAAGGTTACTGCTCTTCTCGACAGCTACATAAAAGATACTCAAAGTACATCTCTCTGTGCTTATTAAAAAACACCAGAAGAATCTAGTCCAAATACACTTGGCAAACATGTGGCAATAGAAGTGCAGTTGGTGGGTTAATGGGGATCATTCATCTCTGTATGGACAGTGTAGCCTGTGTGTGTGTGTGTGTGTGTGTGTGTGTGTGTGTGCGGAAACGGGAGTATACACTAAGTCCCAGTTGCTACTGAAAATCACAGTCCTATAAAATGCATTTCTGTGACAGTGACTTTCTCCTTTACAGACACAAATGAAGTTCACTGGAGGCATGACAGCTTCAGTGGCCATGTTTACACAAACATACATATACATCCTAGTATCTAAAGTAATGCAAGGAGGTAGTCTCTCAATGACTCACCGGCTCGCTCTCTCTCTTTCTCTCACACACACACACACACACACACACACACAGGCACAGAGTGCTGTTTTGTGGCTATGAAAGGGCTTCTTGTGAGCAGACCCAATGGACATGCAGAAAAATAAATAGTCTTGAGGAGAAACCATTGTGTCATATCCTGTTCACTTCGTCCATTACTCCTTCCCTCTTAATGGCTCTGGTCTGTGTGTGTGTGTGTGTGTGTGTGTGTGTGTGTGTGTGTGTGTGTGTGTGTGTGTGTGTGTGTGTGTG